GCTGATGCTCAGGGGACACTGCAGCTCACCAGCTGATGCTCAGGGGAGACACTGCAGGTCACTAGCTGGTGCTTAGGGGACACTGCAGCTCACCAGCTGATGCTAAGAGAGCCTGCAGCTCACCAGCAAGGACTGCTTTAAGGACCTAGTTTCTGGACTCTGGTCTTCCCAGAACCATCCCTCTGTGGGAACTACATCTGGGTGGTTGTGTAGAAATGTAAGACGACACTGCTGGGAAAAGCGGTTTCTATGTGAGGACAACCACAGTGACAACCTCAGGAAGATACTGGTGGGGATGGTGGCAGAAGCACACAAAACTAAGGACTAAATGAGATGATAGTCCCCAAGGCAAAGAGTAAACAAGAGCAGTAATGCCCAGGTAAGAACTCAGGAGAAAAAAGTTGATGGGATGTCTTGAAAGGAAGGGTACCGGTCAGGCTGGTTAGACATCTTCCATCCAAATTCTGCGAGAGGAGGGCAGAATAATCTGAGACAGCAGCTCTGGAAAGGAAGCCTAGTAATAACTGAGGCCAACTTACCCATTTTACAGATTAGAAAACTGAGGGCCAAGGGATGTATCAGGACACTCAAACCAGGTAAGAAGCAAAGCTGATCCCAGAAGACAAATCCAGACCTCCCTAATTGATGCTCTGGGGATTCAACCTCATGCATACTCTCCTAATGTGTGCCATAAAATGCTAGTGAGAAAAAAAAAAGTACCATGGGATACTCTGTCATCCACGACAATGTAAATCTGAAGGTTAGTCCAGGAATAGAAACGGGTTCCTCATGCTCCACATGGCCCCACCCAGCTCTCAGGGATGGACTCGGCATCCTCCAATCCTCTCAGCATCCGAGGGACCAAGTCTATATGTCCATGAGACTGTACCTAGGCTGTAATCAATTCTAAGAAAGGCAGATGCCACACTGAACATCCTAGACCCAAGGGTGCCCATGGAGACACCATCTCATTGCTTGGTGTGGGTCTCCTGGCAGCCGGTAGAAAGTCACTTGTGATCACAACTATATGGTTTGAGTAAAAATGGCCCCCACTGGCCCATAGGGAGTGGCACTACTGGGAGGTGTGGCCTTGTTGGAAGAAATGAGACACTAGTGTGGCCTTTAAGGTTTTAGGAGCTTGAACCAGGCCCAGTTGTCACTCTCTCTTCCTTCCAATCCAGATGTACAACTTTTCAGCTCCTTCTCCAGCACTATGTCTGCCTGCATGCTGCCATG